ATCGGATTGGTTACTTCTCCCCCAGGGAGTGGTCATGGTGCAATATGTAGAAAGAGGCTTAGGAGAGTCTGCATTTGCTTGACTCCTGGCCCTGCATAACTCCAAGCCTTGTTTTCTTACCTATAAAACCTAATTTCATTGAAAACATATTTATTGAGCACCTACTCTGTGCCTAACAGCCCCTGCCCTTAAAGAAAACCTGTGAGCCAGATGCTCAAATCTTCAAAGAATTGGGGTAAGTCACCCAAGGGTCTAAAAGAAGGAAGGCTGTTTGCAGATGGTAGAATATAATGACAGGAGCCTTGAGGGATCAGAGGTTTTAGGAAGTCTGGAAGGACTGCTGTGTGTGAGGGAGACCCTGACCACCTACAGGTGCTGTGGAGTGTTGGGGAAGAAATAGTTGCCACTGGAGTGGGGCTGGGAGTGCTGTCCTCAGGGACAAGAAGTCCCTGGTTAGCACAAGAAGTGATGACTGCCTGAGTTTCAAATGGAAAAGATTTGGAAAGTTGGAGAGGGTTGACTGGACCAGAATAGGGGCTGAACAGAGCCATAAGTTCTTAGCCCCAGTAACTAGTAGCTGTTAAAGTAGTTATGGTGAAGTTCCATGCTGACAAATGCAACAGAAGTCAGTTGGGTACAAATTATGATAAAGATATTGGTATTCATTCCTTCATTTATTCAACCAAGACTTTTTCAAGGAAGCTTCCTAAGAGTACTGGGGCTAGTAAAGAACCCTATCTTATTGCAGTCTGTCCCCAGCAAGGCCCTAGAAAGCAGCATCTTCCTTGTAATTTACATATTAGCAGTAAGATTAGCCTTTTGTAGCAATTTTAAAATATATAAGACATTATTTTTAATGATAGTCAAGTGTTCTCACCACAAAAATTGAGACGTATGTGAGGTAATGGTTATGTTAGCTTGATTTAATTATTCCACAATGTATAATATATCAAAACATCACATTGTAGCCCACAAATACATATAATTATTTGTCAATTAAAAATACAAATTTTTTGTGTTTTAAAAAGATTAGCCTCTTCTTCTCAAGTCCCTTGGCTCCTCTGATCTGGGAGGCAGGATTTCATCAGCTGCCCCCAGGCCTGGAAAGTGGATTGTATCAGGCCAGAGAATGACTCAGCCACCCTTTGCTGGTTGGACTTAAGTGACTCACATTGCCTGCCCTCAGGGTGTCCAGAACCTAGCTGCTGCCTAATAAGAAGTGGGTTGAAGTCTATGGGAATAAGGTCCTTTCTCTAGCCCTAAGGAGGGTGGTTGGAAAAATTATACCTCCCAAGATTTGGAAGAAGTCAAGAGGCATAATTCTCCTGGGACAAGGAAAGGGGCAGAAAAAACTGGTTTTTCCCAAGTCTTGGGAAGCAAGAAGGATGAGCGCTGCCCTCCTAGAGCAGAGCCATCATTGTCTGGTAGGCACACCTGATACTAAGTACCCGCCTTCAGATTTCTACAGTCACAGAGCAGGGGAGGGTGGTAACTTGGGAGAGGGCACTGAGCCCAAAAGGGGCATTAGAGGCAGGGCTGTGTCTCAGCAGGTATCTGGGTTGCCTATCACAGATCACTTCTCCATCTCTTTCCTTCCAGTCCTGGACACACAATATCCAGCGAGAGAAGGAGTTTCTGCAGAAGCTGGTGAAAGCACGTGTCATCACTGACCTAAGCAGTGGCATCTGAGTGGGCCCAACATTTGGCCGTAGAGGCCCAGGCACCACCAGGAGCAAGCAACAGCTACCAGCACCTACATAGGAGCCATCAGACCCAGAGAAAGACAGTGCCAAGAGGCCCCAGGGGCAGTGAGGCCTTGGCAGAGCAGCCAGAACTGTACCTGCTCAGAGGCCAGCCCCAGTGACCAGCACTGAGCCTCATTCTCAGCCTAAGTCCTCGAAGCCAGAGGGCCAGCAGGCCACTGGCTATGCCCAGCAGGCCCAGCATGCAGGAGGTGGGACACTAGGCAGCAAGGCTTCTGCCACAATCATTTTTCCAATCAGTGTTTGGTGTATTATCATTTCGTGAATTTGGGTAGTGGGGAGGGGAGGGATAATTTATTTTTAAATAAGGTTGGAGATGTCAAATTTGGTCCACTTGCTGTGCAGTAAAGGGCCCACTAGAGGGCCTGTCAGGCAGTGGTACCAATAAGCTCCCTGCAGTAAGAGTGCCATGACCAGCTTGTACCCTGATCTAGGGCTACAGTGGGGTGGGCAGGATCTAATGCCAGCCCTCCTAGCCCATGACCTTTCTTGAGGAGAAGATGGGATATCCCCTCACCAGTTCCTAGCTGTCTTACAGGGAAACTCTGGCTCCACCCCTTCAGAGCCAAGAAGACAGCCCCAGGGCTAGACCAGAGAGAAATTTAAAATGCAAGAGATGAGGGCTGGCTCAGCCTGATGGGAATGGCTCCCCTTCCCCCAGCTGCAGCTGATCCATAAGATAATGCCCAGGCCTGGACTGATCACTTTGTCAGATATTCTGGGTTTCAGCAATGAGACTGCCAGGTCTTTGGGTTCTGCCTTTAACCTGGACCAGAGGGAAATAAGGCCCAAGGACCTTACCCAGGCTGTAGCAGCCACCCAGGAAGCCCTCATGGAAGCAATAAAGCTCTTCCCTGAGCCTGGCCTCCTTTTGCTTTTTGTGACTTTCCTTGAAGAAACCGGCCTTGGCAACTATGCCAAACCCAAGGGCCTTCTCTCCAACCCACAGATTCCTATATCCCTTTCACTTCTTGTGTCAACTGTAGGCCCTCGATAACCACCTAAGGCTCTGGAACTTCTCCCATCCACATGGTCCTGTATCCTCTCTGCCTTGAGAAGACAGACCATAGGTTTCAGGGCCTGCCCCAGAGTCAGCCCTGTGTCTCCTAGAGAAGACAGGAGATTGGAGCCCACAATCCCAGGATAGTGCCTCTGGGTCACCACAGCCCCAGCTCTGCAGTGACAGAGATTCCTGTGAAGAAGGATACACTGCTGAACCCCCAGCATGCAAAGGCCCACAGACTTTCCCTACTCCTGACACCCTGGCTTTGCTCTGGGAAGAACATGCCCCATCTGCACTCTTAGCACAGAGGCATATCCTGTCCCCTCAGCCTGCCTTTTCCCGCACAGAACAGGAAGGCACGCAGCCCACTTGTAGGCATCCTCTGTCAAACTTAAGAAGGTACACCCCCACCCTCTCAGAGCCCTAGAGTCTGATCCCTCCCTTCCCCAGGGTTCCCAGGCAGGCCTGAGAATGACACCTGCACTTGGAGCCTTGGAGTGTGCCTCCTGCCAGCTGGCCCTGCACCTCTTTCCTGCCAACCCCAGTCCAGAAGTCTAGACAGCCCTAGGCCCTCTCAGTGGTAAGCCCAAAGAACAGAAAATCCTAGCCATCCCAAGGACCACCACCATCCCACATGCCCCGTTTCCTGCTGTGGTCTATCCTCAGACAGAGCCTCCTTAGCTGAGGGGAAACAGGGCCCTGCCTGAGAGACAGGCAAACCCAGAAACACCTTCTGTGCTCTGCTGGAACCAGCCTCTGTGGTCCACAACTCCAATGCATGTATTCCTGCATAGCACCCCCTGGAGTTGTATAGGCATGAGCCACATATGCGTAAGTGGTGGCCCTGGCTACAAAAGCCCTAGAGAAGGTGCCCCAGTTGAGCAGCCCGTTGTGGGAGGGGACAGAGCAAGCTGCTCACCACTTGGCCTCCTATCCCACAGGGGTCCTGTTGAGCATGCAGACAGCCCCCTACCACTCTGCAGTCTGACTTCTACTCCCCAACACTGTGGGGAAACTACTCTGGCAAAAGCAGTGGCTCTGTGCCCTGGCCAGACAGAATTACCTGTATGAATCTGAAAACTCCACATGCCTAGCCTGAAGTTCTGATTCAGGTCTGGAGTGGGGCTGGATATGTGTAGTTTTTAAAGATCCCCAATGGCTCTAATGCATAGCCAGGATACAGCTGGTCCACACATGTTCCCCAAGTATCTCATCCTCACCCACAGCTTCTAATTATCATTTGGTCCATAATTCCCAAATTGCCAGCCCAGCTCTCTCCATTTGGCTCCAGGCTACAGATTGAGCTGCTTCTGAACATTTCCACTAGGATAATCCACAGGCCCTTCCAACTCAAAACGTCCAACACTGATCTCAGGGACCCCTGCTCCTCCTTTGGAAAAACCCAGGTCCAAGGATGTAACCCCTCCACCTAGATGCCCAGGCCAAAGGCATACCTTTGCCAGGTCACCTCTTCACCCTATTCAATCAGGCATGGAAAGAATTTCAAAAGGCCGCTGATTGGGCCAGGTGACTCAGCACTCCCCTGACACCTCAGACCTTACCCTCTCTCCCCAGCTGCTTCTAGACTATTTGCTCCACCTCTTATCTGTTTTACCTGTCTCCAGCCAGTCAATCCACCAAGGATGTATCTGATCGCACCTTCCTGCTCAAAATCGTTCATTGGTCCCCAGTGTCATAGTAATAAAGACCAGACCCCTTAGTAGGACCTTTCCATCTTTGTTACCCAACCCTCACCCCACCAAATTGTCTTAATTAGGCATCTGAAATGTTACCCTTCAGCTCCAGCTTGAAGGCTCTGCGGAATGTTCCTGCTCTGTGACCCCTTCTTCAGCCTTCTCACCCACTTCTATCCACGCTGCCCTAACTGTGCAGCAGTTACAGCCAGTTTGCAATTGTGTCCCCACTGCAAGCCCCAGGCAGCACAGGAGGTGAGCAGAGTGGTGACTAGAGCAGAATCAGACCTTGAATGCCGCAGAGGGGAGCCTGCCGGCCCCAATGAGGTGGACGACCCGTTGGTGGAGAGAATAAACTGACGGTGGAGCAAAGGCCAGGCGGGGCAGGGCTGCCGGCCGTGCCCCTACCCCCACTCCGGGTCTGTACGCACCAGCGGGCGGCGGCCCAAGGCATGGACTAGCCTGTCCCCCACCCCACCCCCACCCCCGCCCTCGCTAGCTCTCTCTCCCGTCCTCGGTCCGTCCTCCCTGCTCTGTACTTCGCTTGTCTACAAACTCTTAACTAGTTCCCGCGCCTCTACGCCGCCCGAATTCTCCACTCTCTGCATCCAGGGGTCCCTCCACCAGCGTCTCCCACCGCCCTCGGGGGACCTATCTGAGCCAAGGGGCACCGGATCCCACGGGTGGAGCCGCCAGGTGAGCCCTGAAAGGTGGGGCGGGGCGGGGGCGCTCCAGGCCCCACCCCAGGATCCGGTGACGCCAGGGCTGGAATTTGACACCGGACGGTGGCGGGCAGGAGGCTGCTGAGGGATGGAGTTGGGCCCGGCCCCCAGACACGGCCCACGGGCTCCGCCAGCAACAGGTCCCTCGGGCCCCAGCCCTCGCTGCGACCTGAACCGGAGCCCCACACCCGAGGTAAACTAGCCCGCCTGCCCATCCTTGGTCTCAGCCCTGGATGGACGCTCCTGGGGCTAGAGGGAGCGGGCAGGACCACCGTCCCCATTCCTTTCTCGCATCCTCCCTTTCTGGGCCTGCAGTGCAGCTCGCCGCCCCTCCCAGCCCCTCCAGTCCCTCTTGTCGCTGTAGGACTGTGCTGGCCCTGCCCTCTTGCTGTAATATGAGGCTCCCGCTGCCACTACAAGGCGCAGACTGGCTGCCAAGGCCACACTTTTGGCTAAAAGAGGTGCTGCTAGGTGCACAGCCCTGGGCATGAGCCATTTGAGCTGCAGGGAAAAGCCCAGCACTGGTCCCAGGAAAGGTGCCTAGAAGAATATGGTGCAGGACCCCTGTGGTGAGTAGCTGGCTGGTGGATGGGAAGACAAGGGCTGGAGGACCAAGTGGCACCAGAGGACAGGGAGGGAGAGGTAGGGCCTGAGCTGCCTTCAAGGGACCTGCTCCTGTGCTCCCCCTAGCGCAGAGGGTCCTTAAGCTTGCTTTTCTGGCCTTTCTCTCCATCAGAGAGAGTAGCCACTGATTGGTCTGGCCCAGTGGACCCTGAATCCACACAGCCGACAGAGCATGCTTGGCCTTACGGACCATCCCAGGAAGGTCTGGGGAGGTCTGTCCTACAGGTGTGCAGGCATTCTATGTGCCAGGGGAGTGGGGTGAGGGTGACAGTTGGGACCCAAGAACAGGTTCGCTAATGAGGGCTCAGGAAGGTTCTGGAGGCCCAAAGGAGTGTTTGGGTGTGTCAACTCAGGAAGGCTGGCTGAGATTAGGAAGGATGGCTCATAGGAGAAACTTCTAGGAACAAGGCTAGGCTGCTAGCTCCACAGGAGGCTGGAAGGGAGGCAGACCTAGACAAGCTCTCAGGGTGGCTCCCCTCTCAGAGACCAAGCTGGTGTGGAAATCTAACTGGCCCTCCTGGGAGTGTCTCAGGCCCAAGACTATCAGCTAAGGGTAAGGAAAAGCCCACCCCTCCTTTGAGTCTCCAGGCTTGACAGACTCTGCCCTCTGGTGGCCAGAGGAAGTCATGGCCCAGGCCCCAAGTTTTCAGAAGGCACAACCGCCCTCACCATCTGCTGCTTGTTGAGGAACATTTGCTGTTGTAAGAGAAAACTGAGGCAGCTCTGGGTCCAGAACAGAGATCACAGAGGAACAGGGTGCAACAGCTCTGGGCGGGCAGTAGAGGCTGAGGCCTGGGCCTCACTATCGTTAGGTAACTCTCAGAGTGATCAGCCAGCCTCCTATCTTCTCCAGGCCTCAGCTTCCTCCCCTGCAGCATGGGGTGAAGGCTCTCTGTAGGATGGAGTGTATCCAGCCCTACAGCAAAGAACAAGAAAGCTCTGGGAAAAGAGGACCTTCCCTCCCCCCTGGCTGAGTGGGCCACAGGGTGTCCAACCTGCAGCCTCTGGACTGCATGCAGATTACGTGAGGACTTTTTTGTTTATCTGTGGTGGTGGATATCACGAAAATTAAGCACAGACCTTTGTTTTTTCTCATAGCTTTCGTTAATGTTTGTGTATCTAATGTGTTTCCCAAGACAACTCTTTTTCTTTCAATGTGGCACAGAGAAGCTAAAAGATTGGACACCCCTGCCCCCTTATGACCTTGGACAATCTCTGAGCTTCTCTGAGTTTGTTCATCTGGAAAAGGGAGATTAAAACATTTACCTCCTGAAGTTGTGAAAGAATAGCGGCAAAGCACCTAACACATAGTAAGGTTCTCAGTACGCCTATTTCTAGGTTGAGTCCAACTGAGGTGGAAGGATGCCCCCCTCAAAAGATAACTTGTCTCTTAATTTGCAAGGTGCCTCAAGAGGAGGGTGGGGGAACAAGTCAACAAAAGCTGATGGGAGCTCCTGGTGTTGGTAGAGATGGAACTTGGATTTGAAGGCCTTTCGGTATTGTCCCGCTCCCCCTGGCCTAGGCGGCAGGTAAGTGGTTCCCCCAGTGACCCCCACTTGGTGTTAAGGAAAGATGGCTTGTTTGGGGAAGGAGAGCAGGTGGTGGCTTGAGCTGGGGTCAGATGTGGGAGGGGAAATAGGGAGGGATCGGGCATATGGGAGAAGGAGTAGGTCAGTACCCTCAGGTGATCCCCTCCAGGGGCTCCTGGAGGCAGCTAACTCATGCTTGAACCTAGCTCTCCCTGAGCTCCCCTCCATCCAGGTGGAAGCCTGTCTCCTCTCTGATCTGAGAGGGAAAGACAGCTCTTCCTTGAGTTGCCCCCTCCTCTACCCACCAGGGTGCCCTCTTCCTCCCTGAGGTTCCACTTTGTCTCTGTGCAGCCTGCCCTGTGGCCTACCCTGGCTGCTTTGGCTCTGCTGAGCAGCGTCGCAGAAGCCTCCCTGGGCCCTGCACCCCGCAGCCCCGCCACCCGCGAAGGCCCCGCTCCAGTCCTGGCGCCTCCCACCGGCCAGCCGCCGGGTAGGTGAACTGGAGAAGGGGCGGGGCGCAGGCAGAGCTGGCCTGGGACAACACGTGTGACTAGGTTTCTTTTCAGGGGGACGTACGGCCCGTTTGTGCGGTGGAAGAACCCGGCGACCACCGCCACAGCCTCCCCGGCCAGCGCCAGCGCCGCCAGTGCCCCCGTCTGCTTCTCCCCGCGGGGGCCGCGCGGCGCGTTCCGGGGGCCGGGGCAGCCGCGCACGGACGGCGGGGGCGCGGGGCTGCCGCTTGCGCTCGCAGCTAGTGCCGGTGCGCGCGCTCGGCCTGGGCCACAGCTCTGATGAGCTGGTGCGTTTCCGCTTCTGTAGCGGCTCCTGCCGCCGCGCACGCACCCCGCACGACCTCAGCCTGGCCAGCCTGCTGGTTGCTGGGGCCCTGCGGCCACCCCAAGGCTCACGGCCCGTCAGCCAGCCCTGCTGCCGACCCACGCGCTATGAGGCAGTCTCCTTCATGGACGTCAACAGCACCTGGAGGACCGTGGACCGTCTGTCAGCCACGGCGTGCGGCTGCCTGGGTTGAGGGCTCTCTCCAGGGGTGTTTGTTTTGGACCCTTACCCGTGGATCTTCCTGCCTGGGACCCTCCCGCAGCGCCACAGGAGCCAGAAGCCTCAGACCTCAGCCTCGTGAGTGGAGGACGTCAGCCCCGGAGAGCTGGCGAGTGACGGAACTGCAGCCCTGATGCCCTCCCCCTGCAAATCCCAGCCCTGCAGACACCAGAGACCTCTGCTGTGGAGACCTTAGGACCCACTCCTCACAAATTCTGGCATCAGTCAGACCTCAGACGTGGGACCACTTCGGAGAATTTATCTGTGACTGAGGCCTCAGCCTCTATCCAGGTGCTGAGGATGGGTGCAGAATTTGGAGCAGACACATTGCAGTTCCATGGCTGAAAGTGCCAGTGCTGGAGCTGGCCTTGTACTCACTGGTGGGAGCTGGACCCCTATTTATTATACCTAAATTATTTATTTACTTCTGTGGTTTGTCAGATCTTTTCCTGAGCAGTGGGGGAATAGTGGAAGAGGCTGAGTGGAGATCATGACCCGATCATCCCATTAGCCCACTTCAGGCTGACTAGCAATCACCCACCTGGCCTGTATCTCTCACCCTCACCCAACAGCTGTGGGATGGGCAGGAAGGAACACAGGCAGGATGATGGCAAAGGTGCATGCACTAATTCCAGGCGGCCTTCTCACAGCTCCCTGCACAGTCCCACCACTAGAGGCCTAAGATTATCTATGGGTCCGTGAAGCAATCCAGGGCATAAGAGCATCCAAAGAAAGCCCCAGGATGGGGAGAGGGTGCAGAAGGCTGCTGGTTCAGGGACATGAAGCACAGAGCTCCACTAAGATGACAGGAGGGCCCTAGAGGGATGTACATTTGTGATGATCAAGGGTATTCATTCAACAATTTTTTTTTTTTTTTGCAGTTTTTTGGCCAGGACTGGGTTTGAACCCACCACTTCCGGCATATGGGGCCGGCATCCTAGCCCTACTCCTTTGAGCCACAGGTGCCACCCTCTACAAATATTTTATTAAGCACCTATTATATGTCAGGTATTAGGTAGACAACAAGGATACAGAAGTGAAAGGGACATGATCCCTGCCCTTGAGAAACTTAAACCAAGAGAGACAGACAATGAATAAGCAGTTACATTAATAATTATTTAAATTCAATTTGGTAAATGGTATGAAGAAGGACAGGAAGCTAAGAAGTATACACCTTCATTTGGAAGGAAGGGGAAGTTAATGATGACTTCGGCCTCTCACTGTGTCCCTAAGTCCCTAAGTCATCTCCAAAAGGTCAATGCAATCCTTTGAACTTTTCTGCATTTCCTGTGAAACCTTAGTCCCTAGGTCCTCTGCATTTGTATTGGGGAGAACTGTGTGATTTTCCTTCTTTGGGAATAAGATAGGGTCATATATTTGGAAAGGAAGCTAAGTGTGTAGAACTGTGGGACACCCCAAAAGGGTTGTCAGGAGGCTGTGGGATGTGCTAGTGTGGAGCTGTGGAGAGAGATCTGGGCTAGACAGACTTGAGAGGTGCCAGCACAGAGGTCAATGCTGCAGCAAGTGGTGGATGACAGCACTGTGAATATGAGACAGAGAAGAGAGTGGGAGCCCCTCAGTCATTTACCACTGTTGATAGAAATTCCTTCCAATCCACTTATGCGCCTGCCTGCTTTGGCACAGGTGTCCCCTTCACCCAGGCTAGAGTGAGGAGCTGGGAAGAGCTCTCTGAGGGCTGTGCCCATTTTTGGTCAAGAAGGAGAAACATGTCTGTGCCCCCACTCTTCTGCATTCACTGCCCAATTCTAAGGTGTTCCCCAAACTTTGGTGCTTTTGCTGACTTCAAACATTCTGTAGCCCCATCTCTGCCTCCAAACTGCTTCAGGATCCTCAGTTTCCACCCTCCTTCCCCCAAAGATAATGGTGCCAGTGCCATTTCTGGTTGTGGGTGGTAAGGGACATTTTATCAATTCTGAGGTCAGGCAACCCCTTAATGGTCCAAAGCCTTGCCTGGTCCCCAAGCTCTCTAGGCCCTGCCACTTAAGGGATATCACTGCTCTCAGAGCCACTTAAAGTATACCAATGGAAGCCACCTCTGACAATGCTCACAGTAAGAGCCAAAGGTGCTGGCTCGTCACACTCCCAACTTGCCAGTTCTTGTGGGAATACAGTCAACCCCCAATTGGAGGCTGCATTCTGGGTCTAAAGAGCTTGTGCCCAGCATTCACAAAGTCTAAAATGAAACGGCAACTGCTCCAAGAAGAACACATTCCCACAAGAACTAGTCTCAGTTTGCAAATCAGAACAATCCAAAGCTCTCTTTGGAAAAAATAAACGAAACTGTTTTCCCCTCCAAGGAACACAGGCCACAGAGCTGCACTTCTTTACCAGATAGGGCCGTAACCCGTCATGTAACCACTCTGGGGAGTACACTGGTATCTCCATTTCTGACTCTAGTCTTTGAGTCACATTCACAAAATTATGTACATTTCCCACTCAGCGCTCTTCCCAGAACTAAGGCATGGTATCCTCTAAAGCAGTTGTTTTCAACCTTACTAATCCCGCAATTTTTTAATATAGTTCCTCATGTTGTGGTGACCCCCAATCATAAAATTATTTTCATTGCTACTTCATAACTGTAATTTTGCTACTATTATGAATTGTAAATAGCTGATATTAGGTGACCCCTGTGAAAAGGTCATTCGACCCCCCAAAGGGGTCATGACCCACAGGTTGAGAAGCACTCAGTCTAAAGGGATATCAAGTCACTGCCTCTTGCAAGACAGAGAACTGCAGGGAGCTTTGAAATGACAGTTTTCCAGCTTCCAGGAGCACCTGAAGTTCCCCCTCTAGTTTCATTTCAGCTAGGAATCATCGTTCTGGGTTCCTTGTACTTTTGCCCTCAGCTGCCTGGTCCAACGGATTGCCCAAGCAAATGACTTTTCTCCTTTTCTGTCCAGGGATTGCCACCTTTTCTCTTGCTAGAGATCCCTGTGACACAGTATGTGTGGACTGGATAACTGAGATTTCACCTTGAAAACAAGAGTATGAGTAAAAAGTCAAGAGATTAGAAAAAATATTTAGAAGAATTTGTGCCATATATTCATGTCTTTCTTGTTCACAGGAGTGGTTCTTAGCCTATTTTGGAGTGGTGGAGTATTTTGAGAATCTGGTGAAAGCTTATGGACTTTCTCCACCCAAAAAGTGCTAAGAGGTCACTGATATACAAATCCAGTAAACAGTTGTAGGAGGGTCCACAGACTTTCTGAAGTTTATTATTAATGTCCTCTTATAGCTAGATCGATTCCTCCATCTGTACTCAGGATCCTACATCAGGGCTCTCTGTCCCAGTTATTTACAAACAACTCTTCCCATCATTCAACACAAGAAGGTCTGACAACTTCATGAACTTACCCTTATATTGGCAGCACTGTACTTACAACTTGGTAAGGGTTCAGATTGTTGGTATATCAGTGTCTTAGCTGTGTTTGTGGCAATGTTTGGTGGTGTCTTGCTGACTGGGGTTCATTATTATTATTATTATTTTGAGACAGGGTCTCACTATGTTGCCCTTGTAGAGTGCTGTGGTGTCACAGCCCACAGCAACCTCAAACTCTTGTGTTTAAGTAATTCTCTTGCCTTAGCCTCCCAAGTAGCTTGGACTACAGGCGCCTGCCACAACATCTGGCTATTTTTTTGTTGTTGTTACAGTTGTCATTGTTGTTTGGCAGGCCCAGGCTGGGTTCAAACCCACCTGCCCTGGTGTATGTGGCTGGCACCCTAGCTGCTGAGCTATAGGTGCCAAGGCTGGCATTCATTATTGTTGTGTGTTTTTGTGTGCCATCAGAGTTTGAATTAAAGTAATGAACAAATGTTAAATTTCTTATTAAACGTGGCAAGAATGGAAGTGAAATCAGAGACATGCTAGTCCAAGTTTATAGGGATAATGCCATGAAGAACATGGCAGTGTACAAATGGATTAAACGTTTTTCTGAGGGGAGAGAAAGTGTCACTGATGAAGAGAGGTCGGCGTGAGTAATGAGTAGAATGGATGAAAACATTGCAAAAATTTGTGAATTGTCCGTCAAAACCATTAGCTGAGCGTGAGAAGCATAGCAGCCCAAGTAAACATCAGTAGAGAAACACTAAGGATGATCTTCACTGAATATCTTGACATGAGAAAGTGTGTTGAAAAAGTAGTCCCCTGGCTTGGTGTGCGTAGCACAGTGGTTATGGCGCCAGCCACATACACCAAGGAGACAGGTTTGATCCCGGCCCAGGCCAGCTAAATGACAATGAAAACTGCAGCAAAAAATAGCCGGGCGTTGTGGTGCGTGCCTGTAGTCCCAGCTACCTGGGAGGCTGAGGCAAGAGAATAGGTTTGAGATTGCTGTGAGCTGTGATGTCACAGCACTCTACTGAGGGCGACATAGTGAGACTCTGTCTCAAAAAAAAAAAAAAAAAGAAAAGAAAAGAAAAGAAAAAGAAAAAGAAACAGTGGTCCAGTAGGAGCTCAGTGGTGAACAATAGCAAAGGAGGGTGGAAGTTTGCCAAGACTGTTGGTAGAGGCAAGACAATCTTTTGGGCTGTGTGTTGAAACAGAAATGTAATAACACAACCCTGAAACAAAGTGTCAAAGTGCACAATGAAAGTCAGCCAATTCTCCAGGACCCAAAAGTTTCTGTCAGTCCAAGTCAAGAGTCAAAACAATGTTGCTAACTTTTTTTGATATCAGAGGGATTATTCATCATGAATTTGTACCAACTGGACAGTTAACCAAGTTTACTATTTGGAAGTGCTAAAAAGGCTGCATGAAAAAGTTAGACAAAAATGACCTGAACTTTTTGCTAACAACTCATGGCTCTCGAATCATGACAATGTATCAATTCACAGGCACTGTCTGTGAGGGAGTTTTTAGCCAGTAAATGAATAACTGTATTGGAACACACACCCCCCTACTCCCTGACCCCCAATGACTTTTTTTTTCTTTTCTTTTCTTTCTTCCTTTCTTTTCTTTCTTTCCTTCCTTCCTTCCTTCTTCCTTTCCTTTCCTTCTTTTTCTTTCTTTCTTGACAGCGTCTCACTATGTCA